CGACTGCCATCTCTCCATTTGCTATATTTAAACTGGCCGGAAGATTGTTTAAATATATCTCGTGGACAGTTTACAATGCGAATGATTTCCTGCCTTCGAAAAGAGGTCGTGGTTTTAAGATATCTGGAAAGTTTATTGCAATGAAATGTCACGTTCCTCAAACAAGTCATCAAAAGAACAATTTTTAGCAATGACTGGTTTCCAGCGTTCACTGTTCAGTTGCGGAGTGTGATTTTGTCTTAAATAAAATAAATAGAAAAAGCCTGCATGTTTTTCCTGGGTGTTCAGAGCAGGGTTCCTGCTATCTAGCTGAGGTCCTGAGTTTCTCCCTTAATACGTCTGCTCTTGTGACCCACGCAGGTTGCTACCCTGAGTTGCTCTCAGTTGGCTATCTAAAGTAGCCGTTGTGAACGCCCCCTATAAAAATGCTCCTTCCCTCTCACTTGGTAGCATGGAAAGTTGTTTTCACTGCATACTATGTAATAGATATAAAAATGTTGGGGGTGTGTGTCAGAAGTGGGCTAAACGTACTAAGAAAAGTGCATTTAGAATTGTGCTGCCATGTGGTGGTCTCATAAAACTGTAAGCATTGTTTTTTCTGTGAATGTATCTTGACATTTTTGATGTTTTAATTTGTTCTCATCTGTTTTTTTTCTTTTTTTTTTTTTTCTTTTTCTTCCCTACTCAGCTCTTGCCCCTGTTCTTTGCCTCTGGTTTTGTTGGTGAGGATATCACAGTGATGTCTGCATTCAACCTGCTGCATTTGGTGACAAAGAGCCAGCCAGTGGCCCTGCGAGCCTGTGGGCTTCCCTCAGGTTGAATGGGTGCTGCTTGTTGTGTCATGTGTAATGAAGGCCCTTTTAGGAATGGGTGTCTCTGCTGCAGGAAACGATGTGCTATGGGTTACTCTGGTTTATTTAAATTTTCCTTTGAACCAGAAGTTTGTTTGCCTTTTTTTTTTTTTTTTTTTGGTAAAAGTCACTGGCTTAAGTGAGGGTTTTCGTATCTGAGACTCCAAGATTTTAGGATGCTTGGAATGCTGTCTTGACTTCCTTGTCCAACATATTGTCTCTTAAATTTTATATTATTTTCCTCATTCTTGGCAAAACCAGTGGAATTAAACTGAAAATAATTTATTAAATGCTATTTATGTATTTTTAAAAGATGCATAAAAGAATTTCACATATTGATTGCTATCAAATCATAGGACTTAAAAATATTTTCCAAAATCTTTAGCTGTATACTATAGTTACACTCCATGTGCCCCTTTTTACGTTTTCACCATAAATCAAATATGTAGCACTGAAAAGTATGTACAAAAAGTGTGCAGAATTTAAAACTTAGTTCTTTCATTCCTCTGACAGCATATTCTTTAGTTATGTGACACTTCTTTAAATAAATAAATGGAAACACGCAATTTCATGCCCAGATGCAGCTGCACTTTTCATGCAAGGTCCAGGTTCAGCTGTTAGGTCTGTGAAGGGTGCCGTAAGACCTCATCTCCGTGAATTGGTTATATCATGAAAACCTTGAACCTCAGTATTTAGTGTTTGACTTAAACAGGAACAGTATCTGTCATGTCTGCATAAGAATGTCAGTGTGCATGGTTTTGTGGGAGAATGTAAAGGCTGCACTGAGCTAATTTTGAATGTTACTAGGAATTTTCTTGACACCCAAGCAAAAAAGATACAATCCTGGCTGATCAGTGTTTGAAGCATCAAAAAAGAACCAGCTTGGGTGTTTGTACTGCACTCACAACTGGTTCATAAGGGCGCAAAATGTTACAAGCACTTTTTCCCAGAGCTGGACTTAACAAGCATATGGAGGTGATGTTTTAAAGATTTTTTCGGTGATAAGACATCAGTTTTCAAGCTGATGGATTTTTCTGAAGCTGATTACACTTTATTTGAACTAAATCTGAGTCCAATTTTTGCAGCATTTGTGTTCTGTTTCCCCCCACATGTGCACAGGACTCCCATTAACCTGGATAGGAGCTACAAACACATATTGAGGAAGAGAGAGAATAGCCCACATTGTGTCAGCCTGACCTTGGTTTCCTGTTATATTTGCTGCCGAGCCAGATTTAAAATCCTAAAAATATAGGGTAAGCAAATTTCCTTAGCCCTCACTGTGCACCTTTTGATGTGTGCTTACATTGCTGGTGACTACCTTAAAATGGGGGCACTCAGTCTTTGTGGGGCATTTTGTTCCTACTTTGAAAAGGAGATCTCAAAGTTGGTCAGCTAGAAACACGGCCTGTGGGAGGTTTTGCTGTTGCATACCTGTTTGAAAAGCATTACATTAGCTGTTTTGGCAAATCGTTTTTCTGTCATAATCGAGTAGTCACATTTTGGAATAAAAAGCTCGTAACACTACTGTTTATTGCTGTCCCTTTGATGCATAACTGTGCAAACGTTAATAGAGTGAGTTCCACTGACTGGCTATTTTATAGATAGATAGATAGATATTTGTATATAATAAACCCAAATTAATCTGCTAACAGTGGAATAATACACAATCACATATCTCACATGTTTTAAGAGTAATGTAAATTCCCCAGATGCTTATAAATTAACGTAGGCTTGTCCTGCCTTTGGTTTGGTTCTTTGTGTGTGATGTATTGAGGGGGTTTCAAGTAAAAGGTGTGGCATGTATCAGATTAAACTTGGGAACAGGATCTAGAACCAACATCTGCTTCAATGCCACAGTGTGCTGTGACTTTAACTTTTGAATATACAGAAAACACCTCGAGTTCTCATGAGTTTTTTGTCATACCTCGAGTTAGTGCTTTTCCCACCACCCAGTTCTGTGCGAATTGCAGCCCTGCAACTCTACCGCCATGCTGCTTGCCCCCCGAGTCTGGATTGGTGTGGAGTTTGGTATTCTAATTCAGTGGCAAATTCCATACAGAAGGAGACTTTCTAACCTGGGAGCCTCACCTGCTCAGCGTAAGGGAGCAAAGTGCCAGCATAGCTGTAAATTGGGCATTGAAACACAGGTTTAAACTCCGTGCAGTTAAATATTTTCAGGATGAGGACTTAAATGAAGGTATCATTTCCATTTCTCCGCTTGGAATGGTATCTCTGTCCTTCCTGTAAGGAACAAAGTAATACAATGCAATATTTACTTTATATTTAATGTGAAGTTATAGTTCTAGATCAGAAATAAGTGGATTTTTTTGTTTTCCAAAAGTTAAATGAATGAAGTAATGTTAGGAAGTATCTTAGAGTAGGGATGACCTTCTGTCTCTTCTTTGAAACACTGTGTTGTAAGCACGTGCGAGTTCCACTGGATGAGTTGTGCTAGTGAAGTGTTTTTACTTGCTCTTTTTCCATATGTATGTTAGCACCTGGAGTGCGGATCTATTCTTCCAAATTGTATTTTTTAAAATATTTTTTTGTCTGAAGTTAGGACTAAACGTTTCAATGTGTGCACACCGAGTGCAGGGTTGCCCCCTAGCATGTTTTGGAGCTGACACGGTGGAGCCGGAATGCGGGCAGGCAGTCCCGGCAGGTGGCACTAAGCCGATGCTGTTCTGCACGCCTCGCACCGCAGGAAAACCTTCCTATTTAGGAGTCAGCCATACATGAAGTACGAACATTTACAAGTAGCTTAAGAAAAGCGTGAGCATTGGGAAAAATCACATCAATCTGTGCTGGTGTGCAAACTGCCTTCACCTTGGTTCAAGGTTTCTTCATTGCCAGTGATGATGCCAGCTCTGTTGTGTCTGTCCCGTGATGTAGAAATGTCGCTCCTTGAGCCCGCTTTGTGGGAGCTGAATGCTCTAAATTTCTTTGGAAATGTAGCACACACTCAGCACCTGCTAGGATTTAGTTCACAGAAATTAAATCTTTAAAAAAAAAAAACAAAACCAACCAAAAACCCAAACCACAACAAAACCACCCAAAACTTTTAATGTAAAAACTACTTCAGCCACTTTAGTGCATACCAACAAGTAACTGATACAAGTAATGATTACGCAGATTCCATGTACATATGTTTTCTGTAGCAGACCACCAAGCTATAAAGTAAAAAAATAGCTTATTTTTGCTTTGCTGTGTCTTTTAATTATTATGGGTTCTCATTTATTTTTAAAAATTCTTTATTTCTTTAACACTTTGAATGTTGTGCTGCTTACATCACTTTTTTTGCATGAGATAATTTGGCTTTTCCTCTCCTGTAGATGAAAGAAAATTATGGTGCTTTAAAATTAAGTAAAAGTAATGATGAAGAAATTACAGGGGTAGACTTAGGTGTGGGGTTTTTTCTGTATGAAATAATAAAGTCTAGATAATATTAAATTGTTGTGAAGTGTTTAATTACTAAAATAACTACCAGTTGGAAACCATACTTTTCTAGGATTAGATTAAACTACAATACATCTGTATGAAGATGGTGCTGGGCATATGGTGTAAGTCTTTATTAAGTAAATATCTGTGGTATAGTTTCTCATAACTTGTTTTATTAAATCTTCGTTAATTCCGAGTTTCAGTATAATGTGTTTTCGTAAAATTGAAGTGAATAGTTAGTGAACAGAAAATTACTGGCTCTCAAAATTGGATTTTTACTAGTAATCTGTTAACATAACGGATTACTTTTGGGAGCAGATCTTGCAAACAGTTACATACATGAGTCATTCATATGAATTTGTCCCTCTGAACTTCCAAACTGCTCATGTCAGTGAAATTATCCGTGTGCACAGTGTTTGCCAGATCAGACTTTAACAATGAAAAGGCTAAAAAAGACCTTAGTCTCATGTGTTCAAAGTGCAGTAGTTGCTGTCAAACTTTGTGTGACTTAAGTATGTCTAAGCATTTCATATTATATGTTTCTATGTTCAGAGATCTAATTTCCATAATGTGTAACTTTCCCATAGCTCTCCGTACGGTGTATCACCAAAGAAGATGTACTATTACAGATGTCTGTTCACATGGTCTGAAAGAAAATAAAAGTAAGACTGATATGTTGTATAGCAAAACCGACCAGTATGGCTATGGTTAAATGCCTGTCAGTGTTTTCATTATAAATCCCTATTTTCTGGGGTTTATATCTTGAACATAAAAATGTGCTCTGGATTTAAAGATGTCATACAAGATCTCAGCTGGATGTACTTGTTCCCCAGAACTGGTTGGGGAGCAAAAATTAAAACTAATTTCTATGAAGATTAATTTAAAAAAAAAAAAAAGCGCAAATAACAATTTGGAACAAAAATAGATTTTTAAACTTAAAATACAGTCTTACAAATTACAAAACAAGCACTATGCGAGCACAATAGTAAATAGCATGTGAGGCTGCTCATGTGTCAGTATTATATAAATGTCTGTCTGTATGTTCACCTCCTAGCCATACGATCGAACGCTGTATTATCATAATAGAGCATAGTGTTACCATATTTTTGGAATGGCTTGAAAATGGGTTTTAAAAGTTACCTTTGTATATAGCTGTCTTAATGGGAGTGTATTGGATGTTATTCTGTATTTACAAATGTTTCTTTTGTACGATAGTATTCAGTCTAGAATGTCCTATTTAATACAGTTTAGAATTAAATTTATTTGCAGGTATCTCGTTGGGAGTAATATTGTTATTGTGCCTGGTGCTTGCAAAACTTGGGATCACAAAGAAGACTAGAAACCCTTTTGTTAATGTACTCTTTTTGTTCATACCCTGTTTTTTCCCCCTTCTTAACTCCTTGTTCTGGCGGAGTTTTGCAATCTCCTTCATCTGCTTGATAGACAGAAGGTGCTTGTCCCTGCCTTGTCTGGGTGGAGGCTCCTCAGTGACTCTGGCGCTGAGTAGCACGGGGATGCTGAGACAT